AATCCTGTGAAAGTTTATACGTCCATTGCCTCCTGTTTCTCTCGAAAGCGACGGGATATTAGTGGAGAGTGTTAAAGTGAATTGTGTTTAGATTGGGACTACCTATGATAATATGTGGCCTGATTCGCACTGTAACCTACAAATTAGCTGTATCCTACACCTTTTTGTCACCTACCACCCACCTTTGCCGTATTAGGCCTCAGGTGTACTATTCCCTTATGGAATGTGTTACCTAGCTTTAAGAACTACTTTTTTTCGTACGTTTGAAAGGCTTCCTGGGTAGCAACCCTCCTTTTGGTAGCGTAGTGACACTTTTAGTTTATTTAATAAGTATCTCCTCGAGTTCTAGAGTACTATAAATGTCAACGAGTAAACAGCCCCACTGCTCGGCATCAAATCTTACCATCAACAAAAACCAACCACCACCGACAACCTCGCGCCAACGCGTCCCGTCTCTCCCCTGTGGCTCGCCCTCCGACCACCGCACCCCGCACCAACCCGCCCTGTGCATACCCCTTGCACCCCGTGCCGCGATTGGCCTGTGCTCCCCTTTTTACTCTACTGTTGTGAGAAGTAAAAGCAACTTCAATTATTATTGCTTACTCATAATTACAAAGTGCGGCACCACAAGTGAACTGACACTGGTAGTCCATGTACGATGTTAACAGAAAGGTATACGCTCGAGCGACACAGCCTCCAGGAAATTGTCAACACAACAGACCTGATTGCGAAGAGGCGGGAAAAGAAGCACCCATATCCGATGTAACGTAATTGGGCTAAAGGATCCTGAATGCAGTCTAGAAGGGCAAAAAAAGCCACACCGACACTGATAGGAAACGAATCGAGGAAAGCAAAGACAAAGCATCGCACCGAGGAAATGCAGAAGTGAAAGGACGCCGAGTAGAATCGAAAGTCTAATCGAGAGTAAGAAGCTGGAAGCGAGGTAGATATATGGCTAGTCCTAGGAAGAGAGGAGCAGCGAGAGAGGTAGCGGAAAGAAAAAGCAATAACATCTCAGCAGAGCTTGTCTAAGCTCCCGGCATTGTGCCTAATATTGTGTTTCCATTGTCCACCATTCCATCTTATCCCTTATCTCCCTCCTCTGTCGTCGATGCTCTATCTCCCTTGGCCTCCAAACCTCCTGGACAGTAACTCATACATCCTCAATCTACACCATGTCTGAACTTACGAGAACTGTACCCCTTTACAGTAATTTCTCCGACACTTCGAAGTTATCGGAAAAATCTGTTCTCTCACTGGCCGTATCTTTTTGCAGCTGGAAAAATCAGGGAAATATCTCGCCGCCGCCGTGACACGTGTTCTAATTCAACCTCAAACCTCAGTTCTAAGACCCATTCTGTCCCTCACTCACTTTGTTACTGCTACAATATAGCTTAACACTGTGTGTGATACAGGGAGCTCACGCTTGGCGTTATATAAAGCAGTGGATAGCACTCCTGAAGCGACCGTCAAACCACCCCGACGTGCTCAGAGAAGCCGCAGAGCTCGCCGCCGCTACTGCACTGCCGCTTTCGCACCGCCGCCGCTCGCCGATTCGCTCCGCTTCGCCTGTTACTACTCCGCCGCCGCTGTCCCCATCGCCGCAACCGTCCTCCCCGTCGAACTACAGTAGCTCTGGTACAAAATTTGACGCTCCGCCGCTGGTAGAAATTGAAACAGAACAGCCTTCTTCCTCTGAATCTACCTCACCTACCGCGACCCCGTCCTCTAATTCTCACTCGGCTACTAGCGTATCGTTAATTCAGGAGGACAGTGAGCTTTCTGAGCGCCGCGCACGCTATATCCTCAGAGTAGCAACGCAACGAGAAGCTCGCCGAACTAATCCGCCGCCCCGAAGGCCCCGGACCTACTACTGTCAGTAGTGTAAGAGGACCCTTTCGGGCCACCACCAATACCGGATCCACATTACAGGCGCACCGCACAGGCGCGCTGTTCAACGTGTACTACACGAAGGACGTGTAAACCGGACCTGTGTACAGTGTAATAAGACTTTCACTACTGTACATAATTACACTGTCCACTGCCGTAGTACGCGCCACCACGCTAAACTACGCCTATTAAGGGAAATTAGGAAGCATAATTAGCTGAGTTACTGAATAAAGCATCTCCCGTTAGCTAATTAAAAGAAATTCTTTAAAAAGGTAATCATCCAACCAACATATAAGGATCGAACAAAAAAGGTGAAATCTAACCAACAAATAAGGATTAATCAAAAAAGGCAAAAACCCAGACAACACAGAAGGGTTATATAGGTTCAAAAAAACTGTCCATAACTAAATTCCGTAACTAAATCCAGGTTACTCAAATTGTGGCACCATGTCCTCACTAGCTAGGGTTCGTGATGAATTTTCTCGTTACAATCCTAGGAGTAATGCCCAGTGTGACATTAAGTCTACAATGGAGCTATACATTAACGAGGACCCTCAGCCTCCTAATGTCGAATGTTTTAACTCATTACGAGAAGACCTTCCACCTGAAGTTTTGTACTCTAATGAAGTTATCAAAGGTCCAACTACGCTATACCGTATATTACGAGACGACCTTTCACTTAAGGGCCTCATTTACTCTCAGCACCTCATGAGTAATGGGATCTCGCCTGGTTTAGTGAATATGTTCTACGTTGATCCAAACGACCAGCATCTCGCAATGCAGAATGTGGGATAACTCCTCTCCGCCCTGGGTTGGGTGAGAGGCGGAGGCTTTAGCGAGGGAGCACGCGGCGCGGGCGCGACGCGCCAATTGAACCGATCGGACGAGCTCGCGAAAAGGGAGTGGCTCACTGGCCGGTTACGCGCAGTCGCCCCGTGGTGCGTAAACGGGAGCGACCGGTAACGGGTTAGAAGCCAGCACGCGCGGCGGACAACCGAAACGGACGTACGTAGGCGCAAAAGGGACGGGGGCGAGCTTGCCCCCGTTTACTGGTGGGGACGGGTGCCAGGTCTTAACCCCGCAGGGGGACGCCTCGGACACCTGTCCCAGTACAGTAGTACAGTACCTGCCGCCTAGTGCGTGCCGGGTACTGTACACAATTAAAAAACTAGCGCCATAATTGCTACTACCGCACGGCCGCTGCTACTACACGTGTGCACCACTGTACACGCGTGTTGCTTACAGACTACCGCACGGACGACACGTGTGCTAACGTACACGTACGCCAGATTACGACCGCTCGGCATGCGCGCGCGCTCGCTACACGTGGGCACAGCCGCCCACGTGTATACCGTATACGGCCGTCCGATGACCTCCGCGCGCTCGCGCCGGTCATTATACTACAGACCTCCCCCCTTAGCTTTCGCTACGTCCCCGTAGCGACCCTCTACTCGAGCGCGCGGGTCCGTTCCGGACGTTTCCTTCTATCGCGCACGATGCGGGAACAGAAGCCCCTCCGCGTGGACGATCATGCCCCCTGGCTCGTCAGCGAGCTGGCGGTATATAACGCCGCGAGTTCGACCGATTCGGAGAGCGCGTCTTCCGATTCTCCCCACGCGATCCACACTGACCCCCCAACTCTTCCCCAGCACTCCCCTGCGAACTCCGAAACCTCCTCCGACAGCGACGACGACATTCCCCTACACCAGCTCTTCAACCAACCGATGGACGGTCATCGCGACACGCCGGCTGTGCGCGCGTACAGGCAGCCGTTGAGCCCGCCTCGGGCTCCGGCAGCGACGCCGGTCGGTCCCACCTTCCAACCGCGGCGACGCCTTCGCGACGGCCTGCACCCGCCCCCTGGAGTGGCGGTGCCCGCGCAAGCGCCAATTGATTCGCCCGTACCGGTCGCTCCGCCACCGCCGGGCGCCCAAGCAACACAGTCCCCGCCGCTGCCCCTCGTGGGCGTGGCTCCAAGAATGGTCGAGGCGGACCCGGAGCTCCCCGTGGAGCTGCCGCCGCCTCCCATGTCGCCGCTGCCCGCTGCGGGTACGGCGCTCACAAGGGCCGCTTCCGAGGCGCCGTACGCGGCTGTTGTCGTTCACCGAGGGTATGGATTGGAGCGGCCGGCCGGACTTCGCGTGGTTCAGCTGGAACCAGCGGTGTACCCTACCGATGCCCGCCGGAGCCGAGGCAGAGACCGGTGCCGATGGTGGCAGCGCGGCCCCCGGTCCAGCGGACGCGACCGTCGCGGTCGACGTGGACGGCGCAGTCGACACGGTCGACGCGGGTGACACGGGCGGCTTGCTTGCCGATGCCGATATCGCGCCGCCGCGCGATGCGGGAACCGGTGCGGTGAGGAGCGTCGTCGAGACCGCGGTACCGGCCCGCGGCGGGTCCGCTCGCGTGGCCTCGATCCAGAGCGACTCGCCGAAGGGGTTAAGAGAACCCCCCGGTGTCGTGGGAATTTCGGCCCCCACCTCAAGCCCCCCACACATCAGCGTGGTGACCGGTACCGAAGGCGATCATCGTCCCGTTCCGATGCCGCCTCCTCCAGTTCCACAACCGCCCGGCCGGTCTTCCCCGGAGCGCCTCCGTGAGGAGGCCGCGTTCACTGCCCTGCAGTACGCTTGCTCCTTCGAGGGGGCAACAGTTCCTTCGTCGGTTGAGCAGGCGCTGCTGCAGGCGCGCGAGTGGATGCACCAAGCCAAGCAGCTGGAGACGACCGTCGCGGCGCTCCGAGAGGCCTCCACCGCGGCGGAGCGTGAGCGCGTCGAGCATCACGAGAAGCTCCGCGGCGTGCAGGACATCCTCGCGGTCGTCAGCCAACGTCTCGCGGCGCCGCCGATGCCTGCCGCTACGGTCGGGGCCTCGCGCCCCGCGCCCGAAGATGCCGCGGCGGCTCCGCCGGCTAAGCGCACGCGTCGTTCTTGAGCCCCGACCCATTGGTCGCCCCCTTTCGCGTAGCCCATTAGGGGCTTCGCCCACAGTAAACAGAGCCGACTAGCGGTGTTCCTTGCCTTCTCCTTTTGGCACGTGCGGGCGGTAGTGCACGACGCGCGCGAGCGAGGTCGTCCTGGCGGTTCGGCCATGCGAGGCCGGAAGAAGCGCTACGCGAGCGCGCTTGTCCGTTCTTGGCGCGTACGCCAATATCGGTCGATGAAAGGTTGCGGGAGCCCCTCGGAGGGCTCGTAGGTATCGTCGGAAGCGGCGTACCCGTACCAGCGAACCTTGTACTCGATGCCGCCGCGGGTCATACGGTGTCCGACGATGCGGTCAACGACGTATTCCGCGCGGGGCGTTGTAGTTTGCGCGTCCGATGCGGATGGAATGGCCGAGGCGACAGTGTCCCCCGGCCCGCGTGGCATTTTTGTGACGCGGTCGATGCTCACGCGGTTCTCCACACCGTCCTGCTCGATGAGGACCGTGGTGTCCGTAGCGGAGCGCACGCGAAACGGCCCCTCTGTCTTTGGTAGAAGTTTGACAGAGAGCTCGTCCGTTCCGGTCGTACCTTGCGCACGCGTGCGTCGCTCGACGCTTGTCAACGGGCGGGGCGGGCGATCAACGTAGACAAAATCGCCCGCCACAACGACCGGACGGAAGCGGACCTTCTTGTCAAAATCGTCCTTGTACCGCTTTTGCGATGCGGATAATTTCGTCCGAGCGCGGTCGAGAGCGTCGCGAAGCTTGCGCAGCGTGGCTCGCTTGTACTGCACCGGGGTCCGCGGGTCCTCTCGATGGGTCCCCGCGTCCTGCGGCACAGTACCGGGGAGAATCAAACCGGACGGTGGCCGCGTTAACACCAGGTCGAACGGAGTCGTCTCCGTCGACCGGTGGACCTGCGTATTGTACGCGAAGGTCAGCGGTTGCACGTAGTCGTCCCAATCGCGCTGGTGCTCCTCCACGTAGTGCCGGAGGCGTTGCACCAGCGTGCGATTGAACCGTTCGGTCTGCCCATTCGACTGGGGGTGGTAGGCTGTCGTGAGATAATGCCGCACCCCCAGGAGGGCGCATACCGCGTCGAAGAATTTCGCAGCGAACTGGGGGCCATTGTCGGTTAGTACGTAGCGCGGCGCTCCGTAAACGTAGACCCAGTTGTCTAAAAACGCGTTTGCGACGACCGAAGCGGTTGTGGTCCGGAGCGGGATACTGCGCGTTAGCTTGGAGAACCGGTCGGTAATTACCAACACGTGTTGGTTTCCGTGCGCGGTCTTGGGCAGGGGCCCCAGGAGGTCCATCGCGACAAACTCCAAGGGGCCCGCCGCTGGGAACAGCTTGAGATCCTTTTGGTTCTTGACAAGCGTCCCGCGGGTCGCAGCACACGACGTGCAATTCCGTACGGTCGATAACGCGTCGCTGGCCATGTGTGGCCAGTAGTACTCCCTGCGAAGGGTGTAGTACATACGCGTCGCTCCCGAGTGACCTGCCAACCTCGGATGGTGTGCCAGGTACAGTACCCGGGGGCGCAACCGAGTCGGTACCACGCGCTGCAGGGTCCCGTCCAGCGGGGACGTCCTCACGAGAAATCCGTAGCGGTCGATGTCGAACTTCGAGTTCGGCGTCCCGACGGTTTCCGCGGCGAAGCGACAGAAGGCGTCCTCAGCTTGTTCGCGTAAAAATTCCTCAACCGAGATGGACGCAGCGTCGCGTTCCTCGGGGGTTATCGCGAGCGTGTGACAACCGTCCGGGCGGTCTTGCGGCGGGTCCCAGTGCACATTGTCCAGGAGGGCCTCGCTGCCCTCTTCGTACTGGACCGCGAAGCACGGGACCTCATCATCGACCGGTTCGGTGTCTCCTCCATCGGTACGTAAGCGCGATACGCCGTCCGCGAGTTGGTGCTTGACGCCTGGGCGGTACTGTACCTCGTAGTCGTACTCCGCCAAGCGCAGGCGCCAGCGAGCGAGCCGACCGGAACTGTCCGCTAAATTGAGGACCCAGCGTAGGGCCTCGTGATCTGTGCGAAGGTTGAACGCGCTTCCGTATAGGTACGGCCGTAGGGTGAGGATGCTCCACACTACGGCCAAGCATTCCTTTTCGGTAGTCGTATAATTGCGCTCCGCGTCGGTCAACGCACGACTCCAATATCCGATCGGTCGAGTACCTCCATCGGGTTGCTCCTGTAGAAGGGCGCAACCCACTTGGTGTCCGCACGCGTCGGTGTCCAGCGTATATTTCCGTCCGTAGCGGGGTAGCGCGAGGATTGGCGGCGACACGAGGCGCCGCTTCAATTCCTCAAACGCCGCGTATTCCGCATCGGTTAAGATCTCGAACTCGTAGGGCTGATTCTTGCCGGTCTTCTTATTCAGCGGCGTGGCGATCTTCGCGAATCCTTGCACAAACCGCCGGTACACGTTGCACATCCCGAGAAAGGATCGCAGTTCCGTTTGGTTCGTAGGCGCGCGCGCGCGCTCGATCGCGATGACGTTGCGTCGCTCCACCTCCAACCGTCCCGGACGAATGACGTGCCCGAGATAGGTTACGGAGGTGTCGAAAAACGCGCACTTCGCCAATTTTAGCGACACGCCCGCGGTATGTAGAAGCCGTAGTACCTCGCGCACGTGTGCCATATGTTCCGTAACGGTTCGCGAGTAGACAATGACGTCATCGAGGTAGACCAACGCGGTCTCCCATTTCACGCGGGACAGGATGATGTCGACCGCTC